ATTCATATCTTTGAATCATCATACACCAAACACTTTTAGTTTAAATGATGAATATCTAAACGTTACTCATTACTCGTTAGTCGGTAGAACATTCAGTAATGTATCATAATAACCGATGAGTATATGTAAAGTGGTTTAATTTGCGTTTAATACTTCTCAAATATAGAATTTATGTGGAGTGAAGCAAATAAAAAAAATTAAATTTATATTAAAAGGTTATAAATTTGGATTTCAAAAAAAAAATTGACAGACAAAATTGGCCGTTGAACATGTGTACCAAAAACATGTAAGTTGTACTTGAAAATAAATGATTTAAATACAATTGTTCATAAAAGTATAATGTACAATCATAAAAAAAGACTATGATAAAACAACCTAACTGACAGAAATTAAACAACAGTTTAAGCCATAATTTTAAAAGTATTGCATGAATGACCAGCAAAAATTATTTGCTGTGTATAAGCTAAATCCGATATTGAAACCATAGAATATAGATACACAAAATTTATGTAGAATTTGAAAAAATATACATGCTATTCGGTGTAATATAGTACCTACCAGTATTGCCAAATTATAGAGTGAGACTCGTATTATAAATAATTATAATTTAATGACTAATCGAAGAGATTATTTTTTATTCATTAACAGTTTAGAAACTAATATTATTGAATTTTCAGTTGATATAGAAATTTGGAAGTATTACGTTAAATGAAAGCTATGTTTATAAATAGTATTTTTTTACCAAGTTTTTTTTTTAAATTTATTGTGTAAAATATGAATTCTATGTCCCTCTAGTTTTTTTTTCTTACTTCCAAACACAACTAATGATATGTATAAAAAAAATTTTCGATTAATTTAAAATTATTTAGATTTGGATAAAATATAATATGCAAACTTTGAAAAAGCGAAAGTATGGTCTTTAGCTCAATTAAAAGATTGTCGGTTTTACTTGGGCCAAGTATAGTGAAGGAATATATATTAAAGGAATTTAGAAAAAAAGATTTCGGAATAAGACAAACACTAAAATTGTTTTTAGGCTTATCAGTTACCCTTATTATTGTCCGAATAAACTAACGATTGCTTTACTAATGATTTTATGTCATTAAAACCAATTGATGAAAAGCTTGAAAAATTCTTTGGTTTATAATAGAAAATTATATTGAATAATATAGCTCATTTATATTATCAATATAGTTGAATATACAAGTAGTATAAACGAACAACTAATTGTTGTGAATCTTTTCACAACAAGTTCAACAGTTGCTTCTAACCCGTATATTCAAATATCTTTCAACTCATTAATGTATTAAAAGGAGGTTAAATTAAAACGTGTAAAATGACGAAGTACAGACAAACTAAAGAACCTTAACTTTAAAAATAAGGAAAACAAAAATAGACAAATATAAAAAAATTTAAATTAATAGATTAGAATTTATAAAAATGTGTATTATACATATTTACATCAATAATATATAATACTCATACAAAAAGATATTAAGTTTATTATTATTTATTTTTGGAACCAATTTATAAGTGTCGATTCGTTTGACAGACTGGATTAAGGAGATTTTTCAGATGCATTACATAAAGTACTTTCAAAAGATACAATATGATTAATATTTATTTTACAATTAACATCAAAATAAAATTATATAGTTACGTTGGAAGTACAACTACATTCATTGAACTTCATTGAATTAAAAATGTATGGATGAAGTATCAATAATAATAGAGTTAGTTCTAAAATGCTTAGCTGTGGATTTATGTATTTTTATCCTTTTAAAAGATCAGACAAATGTTATACGTACTCGTATTATTAAAATTACAGGACGTGATTAAGTATTTGCATTCTTTTGTAACTCGCTCTGTGTATACATTTAAAGTAAAAATTTCTAAAAAAAAACTTCAAATTATATGCAAATCGTGTAACTCCATATATACTCCTATATAAATTACATGAATGCATATATTATAAAATAGTGTAACAACTCTTAAATTTATATCTTGAGCTCAATGAATAAATGAATCCGTATTTGACTTAAAATTATCAATAAACATAATGTACTCGTATCTTGTTTTGATCAGAAATCTTATTTATTATAATAAGCACATAGTGTATTATAGTAGGTATCTATTATCCATTATTACTTAGCAATAATCCGTTGCAATATTAATATGTTTATTGTTTATAATAATGGTTATGATGATTGTGTGCTAAGTCTGCAGTTCTGTACAAGTGATGTTTTTGCAGTTTTTTACAAGGTATAAGCATCACATAAATACGTACTCATCTTTCACATTTAATATTTAATTTTTTTTTAAATATTTAATTTAACACTAAAAAAACAAAAACAAAATGTATAGCTTCGTTTGAATTTTTACATCATGCAATCAATATTGTATCAAATTACAACGCTAAACGTTATTATATTTTCCTTTTTTTTATCTCATTATTATTTCCCATAAAAAAATATTAATAAAAATTACAAATTTAACAACGATTTAAATTATTAACTTAATAAACAGTAAAATAACTGAAATAAGCCGAATCCCAAATACAGGTAGGTAGATACTTACTAGTTATCTATTTATGGATATGAACAATGTTTTTACATTAATATTTAAATGTTTAATTAATGTTATAATAAGTAAGTATATACTATATAAGCGTAAACACGAATAGTTTTTTATAAAGTATACGCTAATTTAGTAAAATTGTAAATTGGTATACGTCGTATACCTTACATACACGCCACGTATGTTCTCCAAACACGACTGTGCATACTGAAAGACAATTTTATTTTATTTCAATGACATAATATATCCTTTATGATAAGACAATAAGCACATATTCACATGATTCATGCAATCAAATTTAGTTTATATTAAATATTAGATAAAAGTGTAAATATTGGCCGATACTGAAGTATTAAAATCATAGACTATATATAATATATATATATATATACCTAAACCCACTTAACAATTTCAAATAACTAGATAAGTATGTATTTTATTGGAAATCAAATACCTAACTAAAACAAAGACACTAGTGTACCAGTAATCGTCGTTGTTGGTCTACCAAATTTTTAGTGTTGATGAGCTGAATGTCATAGAGAGAAATAAAAGATAAAGATAGAAGAACAGATCTAAAGCATCGTTCACTCCGAGTTAAATTATGATATATGTTGACTCTATGTTGTCTGACTACTTTGATATTATTCGGAATATATTGCTGTTTTTTATAATTTCAAATAAAGCTGCTTAGTGGTTGAAAAATATTAACTTTTTTTACATGTCTCCTCGTATAACAACTTAATTAAGAGTTTTATGTGCGTTGAACAGAGAGTTAAATTAATTTGTGAATATATATATATATATATATATATA